GCCTTAAAACATGGTGATTAAATCATCAAGAACCCAGTTTGACTCAAAGAATTATTTTCTTTTTTCAGTAGGATGTAAGATTACAGATTGAGCAGTTATATATAAATGTTAATATAAAATATATTATTAATATATTTTCAGTAGGATGTAAAGATTACAGATTGAGCAGTTATATATAAATGATTAATATAAAATATTTATTAATATAAAATATAAATTAAATGGACTCCAGAGGTTGGTAGAGAACAGGAAGGCCTGGAGGAACATTGTCCATGGGGTTGCGATGGGTTGGACACGACTTCGCAACTAACAACAACATATGAATGCTGATATAGGAAATTATCAGGTTGAGCCCGAGGGAAGGGATCAAAGCAGAGGTGGGTTTCAGCAGGTTCTGACCCGCTCTGGCGAACTGGTAGCGGAAATGTTGAGCAGTTCGGAGAACCAGTAATAAAAATTCTGACTGGCCCCGCCCCCATCTGTTCTCTCTTCCCAAGTTGCAGCTGATCGGGAGGAAATGGGGATTTTGCAGTAACCTTCCCTTGGATTGGGGAGGGAATAGAGATTTTACAGTATCCTTCCCCTGCCACGCTTACCAAGCCATGCCACCTCCACCAGGCCACAGCCACAGAATTGGTAGTAAAAAAATTGGAAACCCACCACTGGATCAAAGGTATCATCAGCCTTGAGTTCCTTAGCACCTACAAAAGATCTAATTTCAGCCCACCTTGAATTCCATTGACTTTATTTACCACCCATTTGCTTTGACCATTAGTAGTTCAGGTTCTTGCAGAAAACATAAGATTTTGCAATAAATCTTTATATATTTATTTGAGCTGCCTGGACCTCTGATTTTCCTGCACTTGACAGCTGGGGTATGATCTATGCAAATTTCACAGGGCATGTTCCCTGTTGTGGAGTTGAGGCCAGACAGGCAATTATAATATGCTCTAAATGCTGGTGTTTACCCTCAGCACCAGATTAATGCAAAGCTGAGCTCTTGGAATGTAACATTTCAAAACTTGGTTCGCTCTTGATTTTTGTTTTTGTTTGGTGCAAACTCAGAAAAACAAGGGTGTCCCAGTTTTCCACTCCACTCAGCTTTTGCTCCAAGTAAAATATTCAGCATTTTAGCTGTACAACAGAAGAACCCAGCAGCCTGTATAAAGCATGCGACATTACATAACCTTTCTTCCCACATGTCCTTTTAGATATAATTTCTTTTTTTGTGTGCGTGTGCGTGAGTCATGAATTGAGATAGGCAAGGAATTACACAAGACAGAATCCTTGGTGCTAGCCTCTGCTTTGAAATATTTTCATTAGGCATTTCAAACATGACTTTGTACTTGCATAAGATAGATAAAAAATATATTAAAATAGCCTTTTAGCAACTGCAATTCTTAGGGGCATGAATCAACATTTGTCGATCGTGGTCAACAATCATGCAACAAAGGCTGGATTAGCTTTTGAGAGGTCCTCAAATGACACAGAATATTTAAAACAGTTTTGTTTTTTTGGGGGGGCGGGGTAAAATACAGGGGTAGAGACAGTGGTGTGATTCAGCCAGTTCGCTCCACTTCGGGAGAACGGGTTGTTAACTTTCGGAGCAGTTTGGCAAACTGGTTGTTGGAAGAAATAATTAGGGCAGAGAACCGGTTGTTAAATTACTTGAATCCCACCACTGGGTAGAGACTTCTTACTGCAAGCGGGTGCAAAGTGCTCCATCTCAACTTACTGATATTGGGTGCAGTAAGCAGGTTGGACAGTTGAGGCTATAGGTTCTTTAGAACAGGGGTCTCCAACCTTGGCAACTTTAAGCCTGGAGGACTTCAACTCCTAGAATTCTGGGAGTTGAAGTCCTCCAGGCTTAAAGTTGCCAAGCTTGGAGACCCCTGCTTTAGAATGTTGGCGTGAATTGTAGGAGCCTGAGATGGAAAGATAACCCCAGGAGATCCTGCATGAAAGTGTCTTTAGAAATCAATCATAACTTTGATGAGAAAGCAATTGCATTGCTTGCCATGAAGATAGACTCGGTCCCCAGCAGTTATCTATTGAAAGGTAGCCAATCGCTGCCGATAAAATAAAACTTCTGTATAATATTTGCAAAGATCTCTGGCATGGCTGGACCAATTCGATCATAGCTGACCTTGGATGTGATTGTCTTGATACGGGAGTGATTTTTTTAAAAAAAAATTGTTATAGGAGGAGTAATGTACAGCCATCCAACCTTCTGTTTATCCTCCTCCTCCCCACAACTTGCCCTGTTGATGCATTATTCTAATCGAAAAAAGAATGTTCTCCTGAATCCCCAGCCTCTATTCTAATCACCAGTTTAATGTTATTTAGGTCACAGATGTCTGGACGCATGTTCTCTTATGCAATGCTGGCAAGCTGCAGTTTCCCATAAAGCAGCTTTTCTGCCTAAAGGCACAGGGACGTTACACAATCACTTGCTCTGCTGTTCTAACTCTCTTTCCCTTCTCAAATTTTCCCATCATCGTAGATCAGAAGGAAGGAAACGGCTCATTGGAAACCTCTTTAGAACGCCACAAAAGAGGTTTTTCCTTGGAGTTCTCCGTTTCCATCTGGAACGCGGAACCCAGGGTTGATCTGATTTTATTTTCTAATCGTCCCAACTTTTTCCCTTTTCCTCCTCAGTTCACATCGGAAAGCGTTTCATGACCCTTTGCCTTTTAAGTTAGCTATGCACCTTGGCTAGAAAATGAAGAAAAATAGACCTAGAGCAGGGGTCGGCAACCTGGGGCTCTGGAGCCGCATGTGGCTCTTTTATCCCTCTGCTGCGGCTCCCTGTCGCCGGTCAGCTCCACAATTGATAGGGCTTTCGGTTAGGACAGGTAGAGGAAAAAGGAGGCCACTCTAGGAGGAGACTCTATGGTGGGGGGAATCAGACTTCCGATCGGCTCCAGAATTGAACGGGGGGCTTCCGGTTAGGACCTTTGTGGCTCTTTGAGTGTTTAAGGTTGCCGACTCCTCACCTAGGGGGCAAGGGATGACAAGTAAAGCCACCTCCAAACAATCTCAAGGGAAGCCCAGAAGCACAATTTTGGCCATGCTGCCATTCACTGGGTGGAGAAGCAGTTCCCAATCCACCCATTGAAGACTAATGCAGTAAAGCAGCAAAATGATCCAGTGAGTCTAAGTTACTGCTTAGAAAGATGTTAATGAAACCGTCAGTATATTGTTTCTGTAACAAGGATGTCAAACTGGCGGCCCGTGGACCAGATGCGTCATGGACAGGTCATGCCCACTCCAGGTCCGTGAAGGGGAAAAAACATTGTGATACATCACATGACAGTAACGTGACGTGGCGGGTTTGAAACCCGTGCTGTATGTCCATGTGATCTGGAGCAATGGGGAATTTGAGCTGGGAGCTCATAATGAGGGCAAATGGGAAAGCGGTTTGCTTCTTAAGGGCTTCCGATTCACACCCGTGGTGTCCAAGGTCAGAAGTCAAGGAATTGGCTGTGACTCTCTGATCAAAACCCCGACCCCCTTTTTTTAAAATGAGTATTGCACCTTCAATGCCTGTAAAAAATGAGTAGGGCTTAAGACTGCTCAATCCCCATATTGACTTTTTGACATACCCATACACACACTCACGAAAGATATCCTGATTTCCAGCCTTCAGAAATACAAAGGAAATTCCTCCAAATTTAACTATGCCTTTCCAATGACTTGACTTTATAGTTTCAGGCTCTACCTGGGAATATGGTCCTTCCTTGAAGTAAAGTTACCCCTCTCTAAAAGTCATAGAGAGTCCTGACAAGAGCCTCATAGAGGTTTTGGGCTGGCAGTACCAATGTAGGACAAGATCCACCTTCTAAATCACTTTGCATCCATTTATCCTTTCTATATCAGCCTCACATTATTTCTGTGGTATGTTAACCTCCCATAACGGAAGGTCCTTCTTCTCCTCTTTTTTTTTTTTTTAATTTGATTTATATGCCGCCCTTCTCCGAAGACTCAGGGCAGCTTACAATGCGTTAAGCAATAGCCTTCATACTTTTGTATATTTTATACAAAGTCATCTTATTGCCCCCACAAACTGGGTCCTCATTTTACCTACCTTAGAAAGGATGGAAGGCTGAGTCAACCTTGAGCCTAGTGAGATTTGAACTTGCAGTAATTGCAGGCAGCTGATGTTAATAACAGTGCTTTAGTCTGCTGCGCTACCAGAGCTCTGCGAGATTCATACGTGATGCTACAAAGCCTAACTCCAGATTACGGTACAACAATTCCACTCTTCATATCATACAACATGCTAAGACAATCACTGGTTTTCCTCAAACTATTCAACTCTCATCCTGGGTTGGGTTTTTTTCAAATTTGTTTTAAAGTTCCTTAGGGATTAGATTACCTGAAGGGTGACACAGTCAGACAAAAAGCTCATTATGAACCAAGAAAGCAGGGTGAGATCCAAGGAGGGACTTGTGAACCAACCAGATCTTCAACTAAGAGAGTTGTATGAAACCCTGCAACCTTGTAGATGATGGCCCCACTAAAGGGGAATATATAGGTTTGAAAACAGTGAGATCCTTTTCGGTGAGAATCAGTGGTGGGTTTCTACTGGTTTACCCCGGTTCGGGCGAACCAGTAGCGGCGGTGATGGGAGGCTCCGCCCACCCACCCGGACATCATCAAGGACGCTCTGTGCAGAAGGGCCATGTGCAAGCGAAGTGAGTGCGTGCGTGTGTGCTCACAGTTCTGAACTGGTAGCGAAAGTAAGTGAAACCCACTACTGGTGAGAATCCAGAAAAGCAAAGCAAGCACAAGATGAAAAGAGTTTCGAGAACTACCCTTCCATCATAGGAGAAGAACATAAAAGGCAACGCACATTGTAATGTGCATGACTAAAGGCTGCATACAAACTCCACCAGAAATACGTTCATGAGTCCACAGGTTGAATAAAGTACCAGAGATTCTGCCATCTTCTTTGGTCTGGGTGGGTCACTCCTGTTTGGTAGCTGGGCCTAAAGGTTCTGGAGGAGGCTTGATCTCTTCAGACAGCTGCCGGACACTGTAGTAGGAAATGCTCAGTCCCATAATTGCTAAGATCAGGGCCAAGTGATTCACCAGCCGATCTTCAGACTCTGATTCGGACCCACTGGCCAGCTGCATCTGTAGGAAAATACATTAATGGAAAGTACATTAAAATTATTAAATGGAGGGATGCAACTGTTTGGGGGCTGAACCTACCTGGTGCCTCAAAATACCTTTTGGATTTTGAGAAAGCACATGATAGTACAAACTCTTCCAGAAGCTGTCATGGTGTACATGTGTCTGTATGCATGGACACACACACCCCTTCAAGTCAGTGTTGTCTCCGGATGAATGCTTGGACTAGTTACTGCAATTTTCAGGAGTGGTTTGCCATTGCTTTCTTCCCAAGTCTGAGGGACTGACTGGCTCAAGGTGATGCAACTGGCTTTGGGCCTAAGGCAGGAGTAGAACTCATGGTCTCCCAGGTTCTAACCTGGCGCCTTAAACCATTACACCAACGATAATAATAATTGGAATAATTGCCTTCCAAATTGCCTAAAGCTTTAGCAATTATGGTTTTAGTACCTTTGCATTAAAATACAAACAGGCGAGTTTTGCCTCTTGCCTCAGAGATTTTACTCTACTCAGGGGAAGCTGCTCAGAAGAAAACCCACTCAGGTTTGCATTGCACGTGGACTCACTTCTGCAAGAATCAATGGGATACCCATAGCTTTTCTCCCATAACATACCTTTATGGAACATTCTCCCTCTCTAGCGATCAGGATGGCCCCGACTCTGGTAACCTTTCATAAGGCCCTAAAGACCTGGATCCAAGCATGTGCAGGGACACACATCTTGCTTATATTATAGTTTATGGGATGCGGTGGCTCAGTGGCTAAGACGCTGAGCTTGTCGATCGAAAAGTCGGCAGTTCAGTGGTTCGAATCCCTAGTGCTGTGTAACAGGGTGAGCTCCCGTGACTTGTCCCAGCTTCTGCCAACCTAGCAGTTCGAAAGCACGTAAAAAATGCAAGTAGAAAAATAGGGATCACCTTTGGTGGGAAGGTAACAGCATTCCATGCACCTTTGGTATTTAGTCATGCCGGCCACATGACCACAGAGACGTCTTCGGACAGTGCTGGCTCTTCGGCTTTGAAACGGAGATGAGCACCACCCACTAGAGTTGGGAACAACTAGCACATGTGTGCGAAGGGAACCTTTACCTTTACCTTATAGTTTATGTGGTATGATATTTTCTCGACTGCTGTGTGTTTTAATTTTTCTGTTGTTGCCATTGTTTTTACTTTAATTTTGTAGGCCACCCAAATTCGTTCGTTAAGATGACCCATGCAAAATGAATCAATGTAATGGAAAGTACAAAACGCAGGTAGCCCTTGACTTACACCATAATGGTCATAACAGGTGACAGTCATCAATTTGATCATCCATGTGACCGACCCAATTTCATGGCCTTTTTTGTGGCAGTCATTAAGCAAACATTTATTTATTTTTATTTTATTTTTATTTTATTTCCAATTTATATACCGCCCTTCTCCCTGAGGACTCAGGGCGGTGTACAGCCAGAATTAAAAAACATGAAATACAAATATTAAAAACAATTAAAACAATTAAAATATATATAAATTTGGCCCAAACTTAAAAATACAAACCAATTAAAACATTTTAAAAAATTTAAAAAAAAAACATAACTGTTGTTAAACAAATCAATTGTTTGCTATGGGCCGGTTTTGCTTTAAAACCAGAAGTAAATGCTACTTTTTTGGTAAAAACGCAAAATGTGATCACCTGAACATAGGTTGCTGCAAACAGCTATAAATGTGTGCCAGTTACCGAACACCCAAAATGCTGTCATGTGACCACATGGGGGGGGGAGCCATTGGAACTTTGGAACTGAGTAATAAACTCCCCTGTGGAGATCTGTGGTAATTTTGAATGGTCACTAAACGACCCATTGTAAGATAAAGACTACCTATATATGTATGTTTTTCCAAACCCGGATCTAATCCAACACAACAGAAAGACATCCAGTTACAAATAACCAAGAATATTATAAATTGACTACCTCCACTTTGAGGGATATTGGCAGGGTATAGCCCACAAAATCAAGATGTCAGTCATGATTAAAAGTTAGAATAAGAGATAGAAATAAGAGAGGGGGAATATTAGTGTATATACTTTTATATAATAAATCAATAACAAGAGAAAATATGGAATAATTGAATAATGATAGACTGTAACTTAATATAAATGTGTATTATTATTAGAAATATATAAGTTGATCGAATGTAAGAACTATGATCAATTTTACTAGTTCGATTTATATTAGACTGCATGATGCCCAGGTGTCACACAGTTCACGCATTGGTATGTTTGTTAAAAAAATGTGATGTCAGTCAGCCATCACAGTGTGATTCCTATAAAAGACACAAACAACTTTGATCTCATAATTGTGGCCATCATTTGACTGTTTTTTTTAACCACACGTTTGTAGGCATCATCCCAAAAGAGGACACACAGACATACCCATGCAGAAATGACTGAAATACAGTAACTGAAACAGAAACACATTATACTTCCTAGTATAGAAAGACAGGGACCAGGCGACTTGTATCTCTGTTTGGTCCTCACCCAGGCACTGATATGTCATGTCTGAATCTCTGCTCTGCTTATCTTCAAACTAGACTTAGATTTGATTTAAATAGAGCTATCTAATAGCAAGGTGTTTTCCCCACGAAACAACACATATTGGCACATGGCAGATTCCATAACAAAATGTTGCAGTGCAGAGAAGTTCCTGCTTTGAGTTCCAGGGATTCCAACGTGCCCCCTTTTTTCATAAGATTTTCATTCCACTTTCAGATGTTAACCTTCCTTCGCTATCAAATCATTATTGCTTTCCTCCCCATCTCTCCCCATAGCCATACCTGAAGACTGTTTCTTCCTAAGTGAGGACTTAACCAGTACGCCCTTCTACAAACCTTGATCTTTCCATAGGTTTGAAGACTTTCCTCTTATTCATGGATACCTTATGCCACCAGACTTCAAATTTTGGGCTTAGACAACTTAGAACTACGCCGACTTCGGTCTGACCTAAGCGTAGGACATAAAATTATCTGCCACAACGTCCTACATGTCAATGAGTACTTCAGCTTCAACCACAACAATACACGAGCACACAATAGATACAAACTCCAGGTAAACCGCTCCAAACTCGATTGCAGAAAATACGACTTCAGCAACAGAGTGGTCAATGCCTGGAATGCTCTACCTGACTCTGTGGTCTCTTCCCCCAACCCCCAAAACTTTAACCTTAGACTATCTACTGTTGACCTCACCCCATTCCTGTAAGGGGCGTGCATAAGTGCACCAGCTGCCTACCATCCCTGTCCTACTATCCCTTTTTATTCGTATCCATTTCATGTATTCATAATCATGTTTATACTTTTATCTGTAATCTTATATATGCTTGACAAATAAATAAAATAGATAAATAAATAAAATGTTTTAGGCTATGGTAGGGTTCTGCCCTCACAGCCTGAACATGAGAAAAAGAGGGAATCCTGCTATTCTTTTTTTTCTTTGTTGTCTTTTCCTGGATTACTAAGATCCCTCTGATCTGCAGCCTCTGATACTGAATACATTATTCAGGACTTTCCAGCAAGATCATTCCTTATCTGTCTGTCTGTCCTTCGGTCCCTCTGGTCTCTAATACAGGAGGAAATTCTGCTTACCTGCAACAGTCGGAAGTATCCCGGGGTCAAACGTCGGAGGCGGAAGATCATAGCAGAAGAAAAGAGAGGGAGATAGCTCCCCTTCCTAACTCTCTTCTTGTGGGTTTTCGAGTTATTTAGGCAGAATCAAAGCTGTAGAAGGAAAGGAAAAAGCTTAGGACATGACAGGAGGAAGGGAACCACAGCAAACATTCTTTGATGTCTGGCAGCGAAATGGTCTGCAGGACTTGACTGTAGACCACTGTTCTGGTGACCCCCAAAGTTCTTCTGGCAAAAGACGTGGCGCTAATTGCATGGGTTGTTGTTTGAGTTACTCATTAATTTAATGAGCATCTCAGGCTCATCCTTGTCTACAACAGGGCAACTCCCTGAAATGTATGGTATGTGAAATACCACCATCCCTCTCTCTGATGGGACACGTTCCCTGGTTCCCAGCGTTTTCAACCAACTTCAGCAATCTCCATCTTCTCTCTTTTCATGTCTTCCTCCGATGCTAAGGCAATGGATGTAAATGCACATACCGCTTAGGGGGTTCAAGATCCTGGTCCTTGCGTATCATCTCCCAGTAATAACGCTGGACGACTGTGTGCAAGAGATGTTTTTTTCATTTTGCCCTCCTCCCTTCCTGCCCAGTGATGAGCCTGCCACTGCTTGCCTTAGCAGCAGCTGTCACAAGGAATCAGCACTCCCTGCTCCGCTGACCGCACGCGATCCATGCAAGGGGAAGTTTTTTCCGGGTTTTTATTGGGGGAGCAAAATTTGGGAGCCATGTACATCATGAGAACCTCTGAGAACCAGCTTCCACTGTGATGTTGTGAAACAAACCTTCATGGAGTACCAGGTGTTCTAGATCACAGAGGACAATCCATCACTGGAAGAGTCTTTCACTCCAAGTCCACTATAAATATGTGGGATGATGATGATGATGATGATGATCCCATCAACCCAACCAACCAGATCAATGATTGGGTAAGGTGGGAACTGAAGTCCAATAACTAAAATTCAGCTGCTGATGTTCGTTTGAAGGTCTACCATGATGAGCAGAAAAGTACTTTGATTAAATGATAATTTCTAGATATGCAACTCTAGGTAAGGTATGTAAATATTAATTATAGGAAAAGATGCAGCTCTTTTTTTTAAAAAAAAAGTGGAAAGCATTTTTTTCAAAACATCATGGTAAAAGCATTTGGAAAACATTGTCAATCTCTTTTCAAAAACAAGCAATAATTTCAAAATGACTCGGGGAAAGAAGTTGATTCAGCTTCTGTTTTGTATAAGAACATTTTCCCATTTCTCCTTCCGAGGGTTTCCTACTTGCTACCTGGAATAGCTTGGACTCAGATTTCATGCAATATATCTGGATGACGCTCTCACAGGACACTGGGGCAAAATTTGATTGGGTTTGGCCAACAAAACCCCAATGCAACCCTTGTGGTCATCCAACAATAACACATTGCTTATACTATAGCTAACTGTCATTTATTTAACAAAACAGGCATAAGTATGAGGTATAGATAGATCATCCCCTAGTTATTTTCCATCAATTTTTGGTCCTTTCTCCTATAGCAGTGCATTTGTTTTCTTTCTTTTTATTAAGCTTTTAACAATTGTTAAAGAATGCTATACCAGAATAAAGATTAAAAAAAACAACAAAGTAAAGGAAAAAATAAAGCATTATGGAAAAACTTTTTAGCAAGGCATTCTCCGTTTGTTTTCACAACTAACCACAACTTAAATATTTGTACTCTATACTGAAGGTTATTGCCGGTATCTGTTATTTATTTGTTTACATCCCATCTTTATTATTTTTGTAAATAACTCAAAGCGGCAACCATACCTAGTACTCCTTCCTTCCTCCTCCTGTTTACCCCACAACAGGAACTCTGTGTGGTGGGTTGGGGTAACAGAGAGCGACTGGTCCAAAGTCACCCAGCCGGCTTTCATGCCTAAGGCGGGACTAGAACTCACGGTCTCACGAGATCAAACTGGCTCTCCAAATCTCCTTTTTTAAGTGATTTCGTCTGTTATTCTTTTGTCTCATTTTTTTCCCTACAAAGGGAAAAAAGGGGGGGTGGAAGGGGCATGCATAAGCGCACCAGTGTGCCTACCATCCCTGTCCTAATGTTTTATTCGTATCCTTTTCATGTATTTATAATTATGTTTACACTTGTATCTGTCATAAAATACATGCTTGACGAAATAAAAAAACAACCAACCAAATTCCAAATATCTAAAGTTGCTGTGTGAGGTGTAGTATATAAGGGAGCCATTTGTGCTTAAATTTGGTGAGATTTTTTTTTATTACAGAATGCTAGTTTAACCATTGCTGCAATTTTCTCACGTTTGGGTCTCCCAATTTTGTATTGTCGGTAAAATTGATCTTTTCCATGGTTGTGTCAAATTTGTTCTTGCAGCTCTCAGCATATATCTGGGTAAATTGGGATGTACCAATAAAGGAGAATTTTGTAGCCCAGGGTTGAAATGAAGAGTCCTTGGTGCTCTCTGAGCTTAAGCCCTCCATGAATCAAATTAAACTAGATCCTTAGCTGTTCTAGTGCTAAAGTAGCATTTTCCCTTGGAAGCAGATTGCAGTTTTGCTATTTCTGCAATCTGTTATGATTAATTGACTATTTGATCAATGATGCAGACTGGTGACCCTCTGGAGGGTGAAATCAGCCTGGCATTTATTAGCCATATTAGGCTGTTCTTGGCATCCCTGCGGTCTTTTAGCACAATCTGTTTCTTTAAAACTGAATTTCCCTCCAGTGCCCACCAAGTTTCTGGCTCCGAGATTGGATCAGCCTGAGTAGCAGCTGACCAGGAGAATGCACGATGAAGTGGAAGAGAAGGAGCTGGCTCTCTCTCAATTGATTCCTGATGTCCTTTCCCATAGTCTCTGCAACTTCCAGTCCCTGCAGAGATGCCAAATGGATGCCGTGCTCAACAGACCTGTGAGAGAGTGAGCTCAAGAGGGCTACCCTTCCACTATCTGGATCACAACAAAAGTCATCAATCAAGACAATGCTGTCCTAGGCCTGAATTTCTAAACCAGCTGAGATGACAGTATCTGAATCGGAGGCCTCAGTTTCCCATTAGCTGGCTTGTTAAGAAGTTGGTGTTGATTGTCATCATAACTGACACGTTTAGGGATGTTTGGGGTAAGCAGGACTTGATAAACGATGAGTTTCCTTACTCTTGACAGCTTCTGGATTTATACTGTTCACAACAGCTGTTTTTACAAGATCTCCTGCCCTTCTGGGTGGTCTGAGAATAAAACAAGCATCCCTAAACTTGGAAGAAAACGTACTTGGCAGATGTATGGTAATAGCAGCTGGGATTCTTCAACCTTGCCTTCGCTTATATCTCTGTGTTATTTACATATTTGTTTAAACTATTTTAGACCATTTTTTCCCCAGGAAAAATGGGCTTCTTGCAGCTTTCATTAGAATTAAAATCATATTTCATCCCATTTAGAAACACACTCGAGGAAAAGAAGACCCCCCCAAAAAAACTCTAATGGCCTTCAAGAGCTTTTTCTGAATGGCTGCTGGTCTTGATAAACTTCACTTAGGATTGTATTCCAGTGGAGGCAGGGGTGAAATCCAGCAGGTCCTGACAGGTTCTGATAGCACAAATGTTGAGCAGTTCAGAGAACTGGTAGTGGATATTTTGAGTAGTTCAGAGAACTGGCAAATATCACCTCTGGCTGGCCCCAGGAGTAGGGTGGGAATGGAGATTTTGCAGTATCCTTCCCCTGCCATGCCCACCAAGCCACGCCCACCAAGCCACACCCACAGAACCGGTAGTAATAAAAAATAAATTTCACCACTGAGTGGAGGTGTAGAGTATTCTGATTTGGAGCATGCAAGAGTGGATTCCAGTGCAGGGTCTTTTGCTATACTTCTAGACTGCAACCCCTTTTACACTGATTGATCTTTCAGTAGCATTTGATACCATGGATCATGGTATACTTTTGGTCCTCTTTGATAGCTGTGGGGGGACCAGAGGTGCAGTCCTTCTGTAGTTCTGCTCCTTCCTGATCAGAGTTGGTGGGGGAAGAAAAATCAAGCCTATGGGCACTCCAATACAAGGTCTTTCAAAGCTCAGCCTCCACTGGTTTGGGCTACCAGTGGGGTAGGGTACCATTCCTATGTTGACGATTTCTAATTCTCTCTCTGGAGTCATGGGGGAGATATGGTGACACATGATGCCTGGGGGCTGTGAGGGACTGAATGGGACCAACCAAATTTAGATTTAAACCCTACAATTGGTTATGAGCCTAAATAATATTTTATGAGTACAAAATTTCTTTAATTTACACACACACATACACATGAAGAGACACATGGGAAGGGGGGAGGAAGGGAGAGACCAGGAGAGACCGAGAGAGACAGACAGGAGAGAGAGATAGACAGGAGAGAGAGAGAGACAGAGAGAGAGACAGAGACAGAGACAGAGAGAGGCAGAGAGAGGCAGAGAGAGAGAAAAAAATCAGAGACAGAGACAGACAGACACAGAGAGAGAAAGAGAGAGAGAGAGGCAGAGAGAGACAAAGAAAGACAGAGACAGAGATAGACAGAGACAGAGAAAGAGACAGAGAGAGAGAGAGAGAAAGAGAGAGACAGACAGACGAAGAGAGAGAGAGAAAGAGAGAGAGAGAGACAGGCAGAGAGAGACAGAGAAAGACAGACAGAGAGAGAGAGAGGGAGAGAGAAATCTATACAATCTGAAGAGAAATCAGAAAATATAGTCTAGCATACATAAGCAAGTATACATTTGTGCATATAAAGACAAATCATCAAAACATATGTGCGTGCAGGTTCAGCGACCAACTTTAAAATAAAATTTAAAAAATCTTCCAAACCATCTCATTGTGCTCTAATGTCTTCTAGAGATTTTGTAAATCTTGTCACTCCAAAATTCAACGGATGTGCTCTAAATATTGTAAATTCTGGAAAATCCCATTGTCATAAAATGGTGATAATACAATAGAGCCGTTCTTATAAAGGAAATTTTCACAGAACACAGTGAATCTAATGGCTGATGCTTTGTCACCTATCTTATTTTCTGCACAATGAATGTAATGGTTTTGTCAGAATGATGAAATAAGAATTTTAGTATAGAAATGCCAACTCCACCCTTCTAAATATATGGCAGCGATGAGGCCGCAACGTATGTACAAAATGGGCAATGGTGTGCATTGTAAGGTCACAGTGTTTCTTTGTTTATTTTATTTATTTATTGAATTGGTTTGCCGCCCATCTTACTGCAAAGTGAGTTGATATTCATCTTGTCCTTTGTTCCCCTTGTTCCCTTTCTCCCTCCTCCACACCTGATGCCCAGGGTTCCATAATGGATGCTGGGAATATTTTACAATTGAAGACAACTTTATCTCATCCTCTTTGTGGATATTGATCCATCTTTTATGGTAGTACCTTTTCCATCCTGGCCCTGTTGGAATTCAATTTGGTTCTCATCTTCTGATTTGGTCCTCCATGGTCCTCCTTTAGCCAAATCCACCGGATGATTCTTTAGTTGGTGAAACGGGCCAGGTTTTTTAAATAACAGTAACAGGGTTGGAAGGGACCTTGGAGATCATCTAGCCCAACCCACTGCTCACGCAGGAGACCTATACTAGGGATTCAAACCGCCGAAC